AAACTAACTATTGATAGATAATGAAGTGCTTATTGGAGGCTTGCTATAGTACTTTTTTTATTGGACACCAGCCAGAAATTATTGTTATTCCATCCAACAAACTAAACTCTTCCAGAAAGCTATTTGTCTTGTAGAGGGCTATATTTCCTCGTGAGTATTGAACGAAAACACTAAAAAAAAACTTATGCTGTCAGAAAGCGTAAAAACTTTTTGTAACAGATTCGTACTATGTAACTTTTGTTGATGTATACTATTTATATAAGATATTATGATTTAGTAACATCCGTAACATGTTTAGATTATGATTAGTAAGTGTACAATGTGATGCTTCCACAAAGGTTGTTATCATACATTAGTTTCAAATACTTTGAAGTCTCAAAACCAATCATTGTATCACACTTACATCAGGATCTTTATTCACTGTACAAAAGTCCCCCGATGGGACAGCGGGTTACGGACTTACAATGCTTAAATCCGAGATTTGATCCCCGTGGTGGACACTGCAGTACAAAAATTCAATACAATGTAATTTATATATATATATACACTTTTCTACAAGATAGAAAAATAAAAAGTAGAAGGGAAAAGCTCTGAAATATGCGAAAAACAAGGGCAAATTGTCCTTGATAATTTGTCAATTTCTTATCATAATTCTTAATATTGTGGCTTAAATAAGGACCAGTCTACGTATAAAGATACCTTTAGAGACAGCAAGCCATTTGAACTGATAAGTCATAATCTATTTCAAAACAAGGTGAAAATTTCGTACACCTGTTCTATACGATGAAGTTCACTTTTCCGTTGTTTAAAACACTAGTCGTCTGAGTAGTAAAATCTGCTATGATAATAGTCCGCTGTTAAAATCTTACAAAAATGTAGTCGCGGAAATCCACGTAGATACAGTAAACTGGAATAACGATGAACAATAGTGACTCGAGTGACAATATGCGACAGCAACATCGGAAACCATTCACGTGGCAATTTCCAAGTAATACGCTAGCAAATGGACGAGTTGTAGTTTCCAACTAACGCGCACACAAGGAAAACAGTAGATTTTTTGAAGTCAGAAAGTGAAAGACTACGAAACTTTCGCAGCACAACAAAAGTAAGGAGGTCGAATTAAGTTTAAAACTACTCTCTCAGTTTGTTTTTTATTTATGCAAAATTCCTATATGAGCCCACACTACAGTTGATATCGCTTGCATTAATTTTATTGTTGTTTGTAGTTATACACAAAGCTACACAATGGGCTATCTGCGCTCTTCTCACCACGGGTATCGAAACCTGGTTTCTAGCATTGTCAGTTTGCAGACATACAGCTGTGCCACTGGGAGGGTTTTATTGTGGAGTCATAATAGGGGTTTCTAGCTTCAGTAAACTGTCAAAATGTAGATCTTCAGTCTTGTTTGCTTTTTTTTTTGCGATCACTATCCGCATATTTTAAATTTTTGATTATCTTGTATGTTGTTTTTTGAATGCATAGCAATGGGCAAATATATGCCCAGGGTAAGACACAAGCCTCACTAAGCGCATATAAAATTTTACCAGTAGAAAAACAGCCGTTTCAAATAAAACAAATACGTTTGAAACATCGGTTTAAATAATGCTTCGTGTCTTTTTAAGTAATTATTTACTGAGCCAGGTGGCTTTGTGCCTGATGTTTCGTGTAAACACGCGTTTAACACGCATTGAATACAAAAGCAGAAGCTCAGAATATAATCGCATCTATTATATATTTATAACCATGTAAATCAGCTTTCAATGAAAAATAGGCCATGGACATTTGCAGCGCTTCATATAGTATATATGTCTAGGTTTCGAAGGAAAAATACTCAGCCGATTTTGCTGTAAACTTGTGAAACAATAATATTAATAATAAGAAAAAATGGGCATATTTTGATTTTGATAAAAATATTCCTAATGTACTGTACACCACATTACCTACTGATTTATTGGTGAGTTAAGGTATATTCAGTCTTTGTATAAAAACCGAAGTAGCTGTTACTAAATGGTCCTTGGCGAACCTCATATTTTGTTTTTCGTACATCTATATTTTTCATGCACTTATATATGTAAATTGTTTTACACAATTTTGCTCAACGTAGAATAAAAAGAATGTCATATTTGCAGGCAACTTAAATGAAATTGATAATAATTACTATTCACTTACTTAATCATGAAAAGTGAAAATATAGTAGCTCCTAGACCAATACTTAGTCTGTCGTATCCCAGCCGATCTGATGAGTTCTAGTATTCGGCGAAAGGCCTCGTCAGCACTAGATATGGCAGATGTAGTGTGGTTGACATATTATAACATGTGCTTCTTTACATTCAGTCATTAATTCACATGTTAAAATTGTATAAAAACAACAACAGTTTTACAGTTTCTTTTTGCATATTTAACCACATGATCATTTGTAATATAAACTAGTTTCTAGCTGCGTTTTATTGAAGGGTGTAATTTAATTTAATTACAAACACATGATGTTTAAGTCATTCTTACTTATTAGAGCAATAGCATTAGTAATCAAGTATAGCTCTTCAAGCGCATGCTAACAGCTTTCAATGGACTTGTTAGTGATGCTGGTTACCGCGCTACAACTCGTGCCACTTTCTTTACTTACCTAGTTACTTCACCGGTCTCCTTAAATAAGTACAAATATATATATATATATATTTTCTGTGTTAGCATTAAGTCCTCAATCAAAATTTCGCATTCTTTTAAATTACTTTCTCATGATTCTATAAGTTTCTCAATATTGTAATTGGTCTTTTTCTCTCCTGAAAGTTCCGCTTTGGGCAAGTTAAATTGCCTGTCACATAGCAAACAAATCTTTTTAACGTAAAGGCCTTGGAAATTGTATGTAGGTGTATATAAATACAAAAGTCTAAAACAAATAAAGCTAATATGAAGTAAGAATATTTAATTCCATCCGAACTCTATACTTTTCAACGAAATTAAACGAATAAAAACAATCTGAAGAAACATGAAGTCATGCGTCATTAAGTTGCTCTGAACGACTGAAAAATTAGCTACTGCTGTCTAAATGAATTTCAAGTGAAACATTAGTGAAATGGTTTCATTTAATTTGTAAGCTATTTTGGAGAGTTACAGGGAAATGTTTTGCTGTTTTCTGTTATTTAATCATTACTTCAAATTTGTTTTTAAGATTGCGCGTTTTGGATAATAGAAATGATTACATACAGAGTTAAATTCAGATTATTAAGATTTGTTTGCTCAGTACTTACGATTGCTACTGGCCTATTTAGCGTAAAATGATCTTTTTAGAGACAATCAGAGTAGCATACGCTTTGAAATTTCAAAATTGTTAGTCAATTTAGCTTACTGCAAGGACGTCGCATAAGAGCAAATTTGTGGTGTAACTCTTGGGTGCAATGTTCTTTACTGCTGTAACAGTTGGGTGCAGTGTTGTTTATTGCCGCTAGGCAACATCAGGTTTTGAAAAATTTTAGGATACTTTACTCTTAGTCATTCTCACTATAGACATGTATAAAGTGTCTTTAACAAACCTGTGTTATAATGGGTGGGTCTGTATTTTATATTCGTGTTTGCATGGCGGAACTAAAGCATATGGAAGCATAAATGAACACCGTTGACAATTAATAACAGAAGGCTTGATACTTTGATGAGCGATTAACTTGTCAAAAGAGAAGCAAGGACAATTTTAGCATGCTGACAGAGGTTAATTTAAAATCAAGACTGCGTACATTACGACTTTTCGTGCATGACATAGGGATTCCAATATAATGTCGATTGCTTCCTTCCTCCTGTAATGTGAGTCTTCGTGCGTTACGAACAGAGATCAAGAGCTTACGATAGTGAACATTCAAGAACGCGTCTTTTTGATTTAGAGAACAAGACTAGAGACAAAGACTTTTGTAAAATGTTTTAATGTGTTTTACTTTTTTTTCCGGAAAGTTCCCCAGATAGATATTTGAAACCAGTATTATGAAAAAAAGGAAACTGGTAATTTGGTTTAGAGTTTCTACCAGTCTGTCTGTTCGTCGGTCACACATCCTTTGATCAATACTTCACCTAGCCAGTCACCCATTCATCATTCATCCAGCCACACATACATCCTTCTATCTATCACTCATTCAGCAGTTAATAACAACCTTCTGTTTACCACGATTAGGGCCAGTCATACATCATTCTATCTATCACTCATTCAGCAGTTAATACAACCTTACGTTTACCACGATTAGGGCCAGTCATACATCATTCTATCTATCACTCATTCAGCAGTTAATAACATCCTTCTGTTTACCACGATTAGGGCCAGTCATACATCATTCTATCTATCACTCATTCAGCAGTTAATACAACTTCTGTTTACCACGATTAGGGCCAGTCATACATCATTCTATCTATCACTCATTCAGCAGTTAATACAACCTTCTGTTTACCACGATTAGGGCCAGTCATACATCATTCACCTAGATAACCAGATTTCGTTCTATTTATCATTCATCCATCCTGCCAAACGTACAATGATGGAAGTAACTATTGAAAGAGTATAAAATGAGTATAAGATACAAATATAAATAATCTTGTCTACGATATTTAATGGAATTCAATGCTTCTAAGCGACCAAATAGAAAAATCCCAAAACACGATACTGCCATATACTAGTAAACTTGCATTGTTAATGAAAAAAACAACTACGTAAACCATTTTCTTAGAGCTTGTCCATTGAAACATTTACGAGTTATTTTTAAACCTGAATGTAGGTGTAACTATTTTTGGGTTTAAAGATAGAATATCATCACTAATAACTAACGTTGTTTATGAACCTAAGTCTCCTAGATGCAATTCAATGTGTATTGGATCTTCCACCAGATTACAACACATGTGAGTGAACATGTAAATCCGGTGGCTTCAAATAAACCTAGTATAAAAGACCGTGCTACTCTTGAATAAAATGCGATACTCACGAAATGTACATCCCTCACCAAG